GCTGAGGCCAAGGACTTGCTTGTTGGGAAGGTAACCGATGTGGACCTTCAGAGAAGAGACAGAAATTATGAGCCAAGTGAAAATACAGTGCTTTCTTGTGACAAAATAAGGAAATAAGGAGACATAATACAGAATACTTTTATGAAATTCAACTCATGAAAATGTGTCTTTAAAACATCTAGAAGACTTAAAATTTAAAAAATAAAGCACATATGTAGACATTTTAAAATTTACATAAATGCAGTAAAAGGAAAATATATAAGAATGGTTCTATTAATAAAACAACAAATTTGAAATAGTCATGGTATTTCCTGGTGAAGTTAAATTCTCTTTACAATTCTTCAAGTCTTTCCTTATTGAGGGGAAATATCAAGAAAGTGCAAATTATCCTGCAACAACAGTAAACTGTAGGCAGGCCCAGCCGGTGTGGCTCAGTGGTTGAGCATCAACCCATGAACCAACAGGTCCCCAATTCGATTTCTGGTCAGGGCACATGTCCAATTGCAGGCTAGATCCCCAGTGGGGGGAGTGCAGGAGGCAGCCAATCGATGTCCCACTCTCATCGATGCTTCTATCTCTCTCTCTCTCCCTCTCTCAAAATCAATAAAAAACATTTTTTAAGTGGAGCCAGAAAAGCCTCCTCTAAATGGTTGAAACTATAACTTTAAAGACTGTCATTCCACACATCACTGTAGCCTTAAAGATCCCACCCTGTTGTACAGAAAGAGGGGTTCCACTCCCTTTGTCACGCATGGTGGCCTCGATTCTAAGCTGCTGGAGCGTACCAGCTTCCCAGCTAGAGAAGAGCCCAGGGGCAAATGTGCCTGCGCAAGAACCTGGATCCTCACACTAATGTTCTTATAGAATCTACTATAAAGCAAAGCCATTTCTGTAATCTTAATAGGCACTGGTTAGGAGAATACAAAAACCAAAATATGACAGCTGTATCAGCACTGAGTTATAAAGAAAGTACAATTTGTGAGATTTCCATTTTCTTTCATAATCCCTACTGGAGAACTAAACTGAGCACAACAGCATCAAAGGGAACTAATAAAGCAGTGGTTCTCAACCTGTGGGTCGCGACCCCTTTGGTGGTCGAACGACCCTTTCACAGGGGTCGCCTAAGACCATCCTGCATATCAGATATTTACATTACGATTCATAACAGTAGCAACATTACAGTTATGAAGTAGCAACGAAAATAATTTTATGGTTGGGTCACAACATGAGGAACTGTATTTAAAGGGCCAGAAGGTTGAGAACCCTGGAACTTTATACTAACATGCAGAGCTATAATCTGTGCATTGTTTGTACTATTTTTGGTCTTCCTAAAGATCCTAAGTCATTTAAATGTCCATTTTAGAAAATCATCACTGAATATTGTATTTAAAACAGAATTAGCAAAAACACAAACACAGAGGTGCTCCTAGCAGAAGGTAATAGGGTATAGTGGTGAGATACTGTGATTTGTAAAAAATATGTATTTGGTCTTCATCCACCATTCCTGACTCATAGCTCCAAAAATCCTTGGAATTTTTCAAGTATTGAGAGTTGGGGGAGGGAGTGTATTTTGTTATGTTAATAAAGTGGCTTGGACAGCACCTAAGAATGGGGCCTGGTTGCCAATGGAACCTACTAGGTGATTAAAGGATTTGAACTTCCAGTCCCACCCCACCTCCACACATACCACCCAGGAGGGGAGAGGGGCTGGAGGTTGGATCTATTGGCAATGGCCAATGATTTAATCAATCGTGACTATACAATGAAGACTCCATAATAACACAAGAGGATGGAGTTCAAAGAGCTTCCCAGTTGCTGAATTCCCAATAAGCCAGTAACCTAGTAAGTAACATGTTTCTTTGAGTACTTGTGAACCATTCTAGCAAATTAATCAAACCCAAGGAGAGGGTTGTTGGAACCTCCAATCTGTAGCCAGTTGGTCAGAAGCACAGATCTGAATCTGGGCTTTCAGCTGGCTTCTGAAGTGTGTGTGTTGGCAGGATGGGGTTCCAGGCTGGGGGTGGGGGTTGGGCAGTCTTCTCGGACTAAGCCCACCTGTGGTATCTGATGCTATCCACCTCCGGGTAAACACTATGAGAATTGAGTCGAATACTTAGATACCCTGCTGGCTTCCTAGAATTATTCGTTAATGTGGGGAATTCCCTTCTATTCCCAACCTCACCACGTTGGAATTAGGTCTGAGACCCCTAAAGAAGTGGTGAGAGGCTGAGTACAGGATCAAGCTCCTGGGTCTGTCCTCAGCCAAGTCACTAACTCCCTATGAACAGAATAGATAAAGTATGGGATTTGTGTGTAATGGAATAATATGTAGCAATGAAACTAAACAAACTACAACATGACATCATGACATCAATGACTTACAATGTGGAGCAAAAGCAGCCAGATACAAAGAACACATGCTGTAGGTTCTTTCCATATAGTCATATAGTCATGTGCCACTTCACAGAGGTAAGTTCTAAGAAATGCATCCATAGGCCATCTAGGTTGTGTGAACATCACAGTGCACTTACACAATCCTAGATGTTACAGCCACTACACACCTAGACTATTTCTCTATGGGAGAGGAAAAATATATTTCCCTCTATCCTTTTAGGTTCTTGGCTGAGACTTCCCTGTAATAAAAGATAGATTATTAACAAAGTTTAATAACAGGTATACCTTCTGTATACATGAGAGACACCCAGGAAAACTGAGAACTCAGAAAATAGCCAAAGCCACCACCTTAAATACCATATTCAGCTGAAGACAAAAGAAAATATTAGGGGTAGGAGAGTCAGTTATGGGAATTTACCAGGGAAAGCAAAGTAACTAGGGAAAGGTTGTTAAGCAGATTTAAGTCATTGTCTTCTGCATTGATAAGAGTTTCTAGAGATAAGGTATCACTAAGATAGGAATTTTTCAGGTCCATTATAATCTTTTGGGATCCTTAATTAACCAAAAAGTCCTTATGCAGCACATGACTGTAGTTAAAAAACAAGCAAAACTAATCTACCTGTGGGGACAAGAGATGGGTTAGGTATTATTAGAAAAGGGCCACAAGGTGAGCTTCCAGGAATACTAATAACATTCTAGATCTTGATCTGTTCTGTGCATTTTTCTGTTTTAATTCTATAAAAAATAAAAATATAAAATCCTTTAATAAAAATATTAAGTTTAGGTGATGGGTATATAGGTATTCACAATACTATTTCCTATACATCTTCTGTTTGAAAATTATTAATAAAAAGTCAAAATAAAATAAAATTATGATATGGGGGAAGGGAAGAGAATGGACAATTCTAGGTCCTAAACCCACAAGTTCTCAAAGGTATGTTAACTCCAAGCAAGATAATATTATCTAGTTTGCATTAGACACATTTTTCTTAACATAGAAAGGGTTGGAAACAAATTAAATCCACTAATACTATAACTTCTGCTACAAGAAATTCTGCCATCATTACAGCTTATGTCATATTATACAAAAGTCTATCTTGGCCCTGGCCAGGTAGCACCATCCTGATACACCAAGGTTGTGGATTCAAACCCTGGTCAGGACACATACAAGAATTAACCAGTGAATGCATAAATAAGTGGAACAACAAATCAATGTCTCTCTCTCTCAAAAATCAATAAATAACATTTTTTAAAAAGTCTATCTTGGATCAAACATGATTTAGTCAAAATAAAGGACAAAGGTTTTCAAAGCCCGAAGCAACTACCTAGAAAAAAAAAGAGACTTTAATCTCATTACTTTAACCCTATTAACATGGCATTTGCAATGAAATCCTTTCCTGAGGGCCTTCTGCCACTGTTTATATTTTGTTAATTTCAAGCTATTAGATTAGTCAGGTTGGTGAAGAATAAAAGTTTATATGTAATTCTAAATATCTGGGATATTGCCCTGACCGGTGTGGCTCAGTGGATAGAGTGTCGGCCTGCGGACTGAAGGATCCCGGGTTCGGTCAAGGGCATGTACCTTGGTTGCAGGCACATCCCCAGTAGGGGGTGTGCAGGAGGCAGCTGATCAATGTTTCTCACTCATCAATGTTTCCAACTTTCTATCCCTCTCCTTTCCTCTCTGTAAAAAATCAATGAAATATATATATATTTTTAAAAAATAAATAAATATC